GTTTAGTTGCATTTAACTGTTTATCTCTAGTTTATATTTGAGCTTTTTTTTGTTAAGCTTTCAAGTTATTTTCTTAATATGGGCATTTGGTTCGTTGGTTAAGTATGATAAGTTGTCGCAGGTTGATATTACTTTGCAAGATGGCAGGACATTTGAGGGTACAGTGGTGAATGCCGATGTACATTCTGATATTGCTATTGTAAAGATCAATTCCAAAAGCCCACTCCCAACTGCAAAACTTGGCTCTTCAAGTAAGCTTCAACCTGGAGATTGGGTGATGGCCATGGGCTGTCCACTCTCACTTCAGAATACTGTAACTGCGGGTATAGTAAGGTTGTTGGTCTATTCTATTGTCTTATAGTGAACCTGTAGCCAATTTTCCACGGAAGGAAGGAACAAGATGCTTTCATTATTTTTCATTTTTTAACACACTCCCTCGTTAGTGAATTATTTTTTAATGCACATTCAAATGTAAGTAAATTGGTTATGAAGATTTGTTTTGCATCTAACTAGTAACTTCTGTCGCATGCAATTGATAATTATCACATAAAAAGAAAGTTAAATGTTTCAAGGAAAATGTAACTATCTATGCTGTCTTAGTCTTAAATTCGCAAGAGTAAATGTCTGTAATATTTTGTGCCGATTACTTTATTTTATTTTTTTATTTTTTTTGGGTTCTTTATGCAGTTGTGTTGACCGTAAGAGTAGTGATTTGGGTCTAGGCGGAATGAGGAGAGAGTACTTACAGACAGATTGCGCGATAAATCCGGTAGCTCTCTCTCTCTCTCACTGTTGTATTAATTTGGTAAATGAGGGTTGAGAGTGATGACGGAAAGGAGTGGTTGAACTTTGTGTTTATAGCTCCAGTTAGGTTTACTGAATTGGTTTTGTGACTTGTCCACTTTTTTAACATTTAGGGAAATTCTGGGGGGCCCTTAGTCAATATTGATGGAGAAGTCGTTGGTGTTAATATCATGAAAGTGTATGCTGCTGATGGACTGAGTTTTGCTGTACCAATTGACTCGGTCACCAAAATTATAGAGCACTTCAAGAAAAGAGGGTATGTTCAATTTTTGCTGAATATGATTGCCTAAGTCAATATAACTAGTTTGGTAATTCAAATGCGTGTTGATTAAT